ATAGAATTGCTTTTCAAAGAGATTGGGTAAACCCTCTGTTTCATGTTACTCAAAATTGCCTAAGGAAAAGCCAGTGGTTAAGAAGTGTAAAATTAATTACCGACAATTTAGGTTTAAATACCCCAAGGACGCAGGCAGTTGCTATCCTCTTTAGAATCTGGAGGGACTTGTCTGTGTGCCATAAATGTTTAATATTTTTAATCGGGATAAAAATCCCTGCACAGTTTCTTACAGGGGAAAATCTGTTTAATTTTTGGACTGTGACCGAAAGGAGTGGCAGATCACTTCAGCAATCCCTAGTGGTGCCAAAACTTTTAATTTGATGCTGGGAAAAAGAAAACCTTGATTTTTACCTTGTGCTTTTTAAAGTTCAGCAAAAGCCAAACAGAAAGCAGCAATTGCATTGTTTTTCAGACCCTAGACTGAGAAAGGGATATAATTATATTTATACTTTTTTAAGTGAGACTACAGGCTACTCTAGCAGAAGCTGCAATGCAAGATCTGTGTTAGCATGTTTGTCCAATAAAAAATGTGAGCTTTCCTTTTTCCCGTTATGCTGGAATTAAATTGGCAGGTCAGTCATGTGTCCCAGTTCTTCCGTTGGTTATACAAGCCAAAATCCCACTTTATCAGATGAGAAATGCAAGAGGCAATGTAAAAGCTGATGCATTCCTCTACATTGCCATTTCTCAGTAATTTCTTATAGCCCCTTTTAGAACGTAATAGCCTGCTAATAACCTATCAAAACCAGGAGCTGCATGCTACAGGTGTGCAAAGCATATGGCATGTCCCTTATTAGCAATTCAAATTTAATCATCCATAATAATATTCAAATAGCTTTAGTCATCAAAAAATCAACAAGCTGACAAGCATTTGCTTCACTAAAAGTTCTTGTCACTTTTGTGCTTTTGATGAACATAAAAAAGAACTTTGATTAAAGCATAAGTCTTCTTAAACTACAGCTTTTTCTTTGAATGAAAGGCAATGATGTCTACTAGGCAATCTTCAGTGATTGCTTCCTGAGAGAACCGTTTTGGGGGTGTGGGGGGGGCGGGATTTGTCTACATCTTAGAGTCCTTGATTTTTATTTTCCAGCTAAAAAGGATTACTTTTTCATTTTGCTAACTGAATTACAATGACTTAAGTATAGCATGATCTCCACATTTTGGAATTTTATTGCCTTTCCAATTTAATTTCATAGCAAAATGCCATCTGAAGTTAATAGATTCAATAGGCTGTATGCTTAGTATTACTTCTTTCAAGCAGTATCAAATCAATTGGTTTATAGGCATTTCAAAGCAAAGGCGTGGAGCATGCTAATATAGCAATCCTTACTGAAGCAACAGTAGTGTTCTTCCAGCCACGCTGTCAATGTGAGCTTTACTCATCACCACATCCTGAGAGAGGAACAGTTATTCCATTTAATAGTTGGGGACACTGAGGCAGTGAATCACAGGCACTGAACCGCCAGTGTGAGGAGCAGGAGTCTTATGGCCTCACTTCTAGTCCCCAGCTGTACCTGTCTCCAGGAGGTCAGTTTAATTTCCATCCACTTTGTTTGCTGACCCTTGTTTGAAGCTTGTGGGAATGCTAATTTTAAGACAAATTCAGAGCAAGGGAGCAATGTTCTAGATGATGGTTTTCTTCTTGGGAACCTGAATTCCCCAAGAGTCATAAATAAGGTCATTATTATTTATGAATCTAGTCACTATACTTTGTACAGCCCTGATATGTAAGGACCAGATCCTGCACCGAGAAATGCATGCATTTCTTTATAGGCCTGTTACCCTGAGGCTGCCTCTGCACAAGACGCTGACTGTGTAGCCATGTACTACTTGCATACCCAAGCAGTCACTGGAGTTACTGTGCAGTAGCATCGCCGAACAACTTTTAGGTGACGCTGACTGTGCAGTAGCATCGCGCCATGCTTAGTGTTACGCGACACTACTGCACAGTAGTAACAAGCTATTGCGCATCCAGTGTCTTGTGTAGACGCGACCAGAGAGTGGGAGCTCTGTGCCTTGGCCTGTACACAGCTCTGAATTGGGACTGTATCATCTAAACCACTCGAATTTCTGTAGCAAATTACTGCTTGTTTCTGGTTGGGGAAATGCAAAGGATTTGGATGAAAGCCTAAACATGAGGCAGGATACTGTACATTTCAAAAGGTATTTCACTGTGAAGTGTTGAAAAGGAACACACGCCTTTTGAAGCTCGTGACACCCAGAATTCATGCACTGGAAACCAGGGTTTGAAATTTGGTTTTGTGCTTATGCAAAATGAAATGGCAATCTCCTCTTAGTTCCCGGTTCAGCTGCATCACCTTCATTATTCAGCTTGACAGAGTATTTAATTCAAAAGCAAGCCCAGGGTTACGCAGAGCAGTAATGATTTACACTCTTCCTCCGGGAAGCGCCGCCGTGGATTTCAGAGGGGAAGGAATGTGTGATGTACACCTGTTCGTGACTGTAGATAACTAGCTCTTTAACGTGGGAGGCCACTTTCGACAGCTTATTGGGAACGCGCAACAGGTGCCCACAAGCCATCCGACACTCTCTCCCGCCCTCTTTTTGTTTATAGCTGGTCTGTGAATGCACTTCTAAGTCCCTTGAGAAACGTGTCCTGTCTAACCAAGCGTTCAGGCCTGAATAAAAGAGAGAAACAGTAGCAGGACGGGACTCATTTGAAAAGATGCGTAGCACAGTCTCACTACCCCTGCGATGGAAAAAAGCAGATCCTTCAAGCTCTAGAGGCCTTTGTCTATGGCCCCACTCAAGCCAGCACCATTTTTAATGTCACAGGGGCTGAAAGCGAGATGGGGCTGCAGGGGCAGGTTTTAAATATCTTCATATTCTGCACTTATGGTGGTTTTATTCACCCGAGGGAAAAGAAACACACAATTGATATAGCAGGTAATTTGGGTGGTAGGTCTGTTGGCATAGTTCACTTGAGACACTGAGTAAGACTGACTCAGCCTGTCTCAGCAGTGTTATCTTTCCTAAATCTTTTACTAGGCTTCATTTAATAAGAGCTCCCTAGCAATATACTCTCCACAGGAGGGTCTGATTGCACCAGAAAATAGAAAAAAAGAGATTGTTCTCCTCCTCCTGGAAATCATAATCATCCTTCTACTCAGGGCAAGTATACACCTCAACATCTCTCTGTCATTTTACAATAGGCCACTTCAGATGCAGCAGTCAGTTGCTCTCCGAACAGATACTTAATTGGCTTAAATAAGCAAAACTCCGCTAAAGTCAAGGCGCCAATGCTCAGAGACAGCAGCCGAGTGTCTCATCTTTTACATATAGCTGAAATTTGACAATATTGCATGCAAAGATGCAAAATCTTTTCCCTATTTCTCCCTTTACCACCTGGGAACATTCTTGGGCAACCCTGGGAGCAATTAGCTGCACTCTCAGCTGGTGTCAGTGGGCCCATTACCTTCAGTGGGATTCATTGATTCTCTGTCCATTGTCTCCAGCTGAAGATCCTACTCAGTGGGAGTGTGTACACAAGGCGCTTAATGCCCATTGGACTAATTTTATTGCGCATTAGCCTGGCTGGCAAAAAACATGCTGATGCACAGTAGATTAATCCAATGAGCATTAAGCGTCACACACAAAGTGTTCATCTGCGCTAATGCGCAGTAGCGCCGATTAGGGTACAAGAAGTCAGTACTTATACAGGTACTAAACTGAATGCCCCATAATTACAGTGCATTAATGAACCCATAGACGTGCCCACTGAAGCCTTCAACCTTTGCCTTGTGCGGGCGTTACTCTGAACTCTGGCCTGGATTCTGTGGACTCTATTTTAGCTTTGTTGCTGCTAGCAAAAAATATAATAATGTTTGCCTTGTCTACCTGACACAGCGCTTCGTTGGACCATTGGATACCATCGTTCAGTTACTGCTTGCTGGGCTTCTGAATGCTTCACCCAAGGAGCAGGTGAATGTGAAAACAAGTGGCTTTTTACCTTACTGGGCTTGTCTACATGAGACATTTACTGTAGAGCTGACTAATTAGCTCCACCATAAAATGTCACTGTCTACATGTGTGGCACTATTAGGCCACAGTAAACTAATTAACTCTGCCATAGCATAGTACTGTCTAACACAAGTACTGTCCTACGAGAGCATTATTTAGCGCAGCACACTGCACGTGTAGACAGTAACAGGGCTGGCTGGGTATGAGGATGCTTTAGTGCAGGGGCTGTCTACCAACTAGCCCTGCACTGTAGCACCCTCATTCCCCAGCCAGCCCCTCTGCAGCACGTTGAGCCGGGGTGGAGCAGCTCTGAGCTGGCAGGCTGACCCCCAGAGCTGGCTTAATATGCTGCAGTCCCAGGCATACATGCAAACGCAGCACCTGGGAGTAATAAACTCTGGTGTGAACTGCGCTGGAGTTTATTGCTTCACATCAATAGCATGTGTAGACGTGCCTACTGTATGTTAACTGGTCCTCAAAAAATCACTGAGGATTATCAGGATCTGTTCTGATTTTGATTTCAAAGTCACCTGGACTAGTGGTACAGTTTCTCACTGTGATCAGTGCTTTTATAAAGCTGGAGTGAAGATAAGGATGCTTGTTAGGAAAAATGTCATTTCATGTGCTTATAAGGCCAGATGATACCTTTTCTTCCTGTTATGATTTAATACACAGCTTTGGTGGGTTGGAGGCTGTTGTTTGAAAAACAGCTCCACTTGTACTGCCTATATACGTTGGAAGGAAGGCCGTGCTATTTTATGTAAACTATTTGGATTAAAGAATCTGTCCTTTGCTGTTAAGTAACTATGAAGAGCAGGGTCCTTCTCCTGAGGTCAAAGACAAGATTCAAATGGATATGACGGGATAGGTCCAGCTACAACCCTTTCCCCTCTGTGGCCTAGCCTGAACTTGCTTTAGCTGTCCTATTCAGTGACTTATTGAATTTAATGAATTAACTATTTTTGTTGTTCTAGACAGAGACTATAAGCATTGCCTTTCTAGTATGCTGTGCCAGGTGGAAGGAAGTGAAAAGGTGATCCTGGAGATGTTTGCCAGACAAACCAACTGCCCAAGATAGCATTGCCATTAGGGGGTCTTAGAGCGGCGGGGGAGACTGATCACAGCTGTATTGTCAACTGGAACAGGAAGCAACTGGAGGGTGCTTTATTTTTCTGGCAAAATATCTAAGGGCAACACTGTCTTAAACGTGGCCTCTTGGTCCTCAGCAAGGTAAGTGTTCAGCCCCTTTCCTGGAGCAGCCACTGAGGTTCCTAAAAAATGGGTTCTCCCTCTTAAAAGAGCCTTTCTGCAATTCTCATCATGCTTTTCTAAACCCTTTGATCCAGGAGAAACAAGCAGCTGCAGACTCGAAGTGGGTGTTTTGTCTCGGGGCTGCCTTCTCATCCCGTGCAGCTGGTGAGTGTTCATCGTGCCTACTGCTTTTCCTCCATATTTGTGGTTTTTAGGAAGCTGCTAAGCCTGGCTGTTATGTCTGATGTGTGGACTGGATCTTGTTTTCAGGTTTGGCTAGAAAGGGCTTTGGCTTGTATGAGTTTGTTGTCAAACTTTCCAATGAAGTTGTCTTCTGCTAATATGCTGGTGCCTTAGTCATTGTGTTTCTGCTCCCGGATTGTGTGGATGTGATGTCTGATGAATTATCATCTCTGTATCCTCTTGTTCTCATATTTAAATACCAGATACAGCTCTCTGCATACCGTTGTCCTGGGACTTCATCCACCTGGCCCATAGCTTTAACAAATAGCTTCTTGCGGGAGTGGTGTGAGGAGTAATGAATATCTGCATGGCACTTGGAAGATGCCGAGTGCTGGGAAGGGCTCTTATACACAAAGACTTATGCATGTGTGCCATGGGAAATGTTATCAGTGTGAAAGGAGTGAGGTTACTTTCAGCCATAATATTAGGTATGCAAGTATTTAAGTGTCAGACCAACAAGAGGGGCAAAACCTCATTTGTGATCTCTGGTAAGCACCTTCCGATGACTTCCTGGTCCTTCTCGAGGTCGTCCTTTTCTACTGGGTGTTTAAGCAGTTGGGATTAAGACGAGGTCGTTGTTCTGACCTGGCTGGTGTATCAGACCTGCCCTTGTGCAAGTGAGGGAAGGGTACAGCTAATATTACTGCAGCCGTTAATACGTATTTTGCAATCAGAGACAGTAGTGTTTTCATTTTCCTTCGGTTCAAGTTGGGTTTATGAAGCACAAAGCCTGAGATTTTCTGTCTACCTTGTCTTCTGCATGACAGTCCATGTTAAATGTTGACAGTGCACCTAAGTTGTGTCTCATGGACGTAGGCATGTCTCCGGCATAATGAGAACACTAGTTCTGTAAGGCTTCAAGAGCACGGCGTGGAAATCTGTTTCTGTGGAAGCCAGTGCCAGAAATCCCACTGACTTCAGTGGGCCATGACTTCCCCCCCACTTGTAGTCTGTTAGCAAAGGGGTATCTGAGAAAATGCAGTCCAGCATTTTCTTCTCTGTCTTATGCTCCTTTCAGTCAGATTTAGGCAGCACAAATAATTTAATATCTGTGTGCCTCTTAACTTCTTTTGTGTTGGGTGCAATTGGCTTAGTACTGATGAGAGCTGAGTGGTGTGTCTGTGGGCATTTTAATTCCCATAGTCACTGATTTTTGTTCACTTCTGACTCTTTTAAAGAGGCTTTTATCGCTGTGTGACATGAATGCATCTGCTTAGTGGCTGCATATTGAGGAATGAAGACTATTTTTTTTTTTGTGCTTCTTACTTCTCCTGAGGAAACAGGAAACACGATGGAGTTTTATGCAAGTAATGGACTGCCCTGAGCTCTAAAGGCATCAAGGTGTAGATTCTTCTCCTTGAAAATATTCCTTGGATTAACTACCATTATCCTAGCCATTTATAATGCACCCACCAGACAAGTTTTAGCCTGGCTAATTTTACACCTTGCTTAACTTGATCCTTTTGTCTGCGTCTTGCTTTGACGTGTTTAGCTATACATGGTTGAACTCTACAGCAAAGAGCTGCACCTTGGAAGTTGGTGTCGCACAGGACAACTGTAGGCAGGTTCAGCCGAGGTGTTTGCTTAGTGCTGCTGAACATATGGCAGCGTAGGGTACGCTCTGCCTTAAGCAGACTCAGGAGTTGTGTCTAATGTTTGCCACCACCACCACGTCCCTCCAGTCTCTTTTCATTCCACCTCTACCCCCAGACATCCAGCAAACTTTATGCTTAAGTTGGAAAGTCTTTCCCTCCTAAAATACCTGTTTGTTTTATTAACCGTCGCATCCTATGCTTGTCTCTCTAAACTGGTCAAGTTCTAACGATAAGGAATCAGCCATATCTCAAAGGCAGCTTTTTAATATTGGAGAAATAAGAATCACATAAGTGGACTGTCCCATCACCAATGGCTTTTGTCTGCACTGATTTCAGACCCAACGCTGGAGTCTGCACAGACTCTCTGGAAGATGTTTATAAATCAGGTCCATACAACATTTGATGTGGCAGCTAAAGGATTAAAAGGATTGCATTGCTTTCCACAGTGCCAGCCTGCGTGGTTCAAATGCATAGAAACTGTCTATAGATGGCACGTCCGTGCAACGAATACGCTAGTTTATTTCTTCTGCCTCTTGCAAACCTCTCCTCATGTGACTGATCTCTCTGGCTTCAGCTCAGACTTAACACGCAGCACAGGGCTGCATGAAAGACAGAGTAATAGTATTCTGGGCAGCTTCAGGCGGTTTGGGAGACTGATCCAATGGGGGCAGTCACCAGGAGCAGGCACGCTGTTCCTTGGAAAGCCCTTTCATAACATTCAAGTCTTTTTTGTATCCCCCTGTGTTGAGCCCTGAGGCTATACTCCGCTTATCCCCCATGTACAGCTGTATTATTAATTGTGCTACATGTGACCGAGTCCTGGCTTAAATCATAAATGGGTCTTCTATGTCAACTTGTTTAGGGGTTGTTGCTTACTCCTTTCCTACATGTGCAACACCATCACTCCCTCTTATGTGGGTGACTTCTCCGGATCTGTCCTCCTGTCTGCCAGTATTTAAGTTGGCTTTTAAATGTCACATGCAATGTTTCCTATTAAATTGCTAAGGTATATTTGGCTTCTAATTGTGTTTTCTTCCTCCTTCATTTTTTTCCTCTGAGCAAGCTGCTTATTTGCATGTAATTCCTTAATTACACCCCTTCTCTTTTGTGATCACATCCCTGCCATTAGTTTTCTTTCAATTTTAATTTTATTTTTAACCTTGCAAATTGATAAACTGCAGTAAGGATGGCTGCAGGGCAATGCAAAAAGCAGGGGGGCTTGGGACAGAAGTAAAATAAGAGGATAGCCCAAGAAACAAAACAAATCTGCCCCAGTGTGTGTTTGCTGTTATGTCCCTTTGAACCATGCTAGTAGAGCCTCAGTTAGCACGCAGCTCCATTGAAGTCAATAATTTTCATGGATATGGTGTATGACAAGTCAGAGAACCAGCCAGCATACTTAGGAGCTGATCCTGTGATGTGCCAAACATGCTTAAAGTCCTGCTGTCCTTTGGCAGGATATGATCACCTCCTGTTAGCATCACAGGATGGGAGTTGAAGGTGCTCAGTGCTTTGTAGGATCAGGTCCCAGACAACCCGAAGTAAATTATAATAATTCAAACAGGTACATTTGAATAACAGAAGGTTTAAAGCGATTATTGTCATGCAGGGTTTTTAAAAGCAGCATTACAAGGCTGGAAGACACTTTGGACACTGGGCACAGGTTAGGTTCAAGTCTGTCCCCTTCAGCATCATGGAGGTTTTCCAGATAACAAAGCCCTCAGCCTGTCCTAATGATTCTGTGGGACCTCTTCTAGGCAGTCACCGCTCCCAGGATGGGACGTAGGCGGGGAATAAGGTCTCCTTATGGAAAAGCATCCCACATATAAGAAGTGCTGGCAGAGAGTAGGATTCTGGTTTAATACGACTTGGGAGGTATTTGCAAGGAGAGAACTGAACTGTGAAAAAATAGCTCTTTGGAAAAAGGAGGTTACTTGGCAAGTGAGTTGCCTTTCAGTGAACCTGCAGGAAAAATGACCTCTCCAGATATCAAGCCCAGTTAAATGTGGCTATTATTCTTCATTTACTATTGAACAGCCCTGCTCCTAGGAAAATGCTTCTGACTCGATGGAGCTGGGAGGAGACCCAAAGGCAGTAAATAACATCCAGATTAATATATTGAATTCTTTTGGCCTTTTTCCTCTCTGTTTTATTACTCTTCTACTTCTGTGTATTAGAATAAGGGTGATGGGGAAGGAGAAGCAGCATTAAAAAAAAAAGCAAAAAGCCAGGTCTGGAATATTAAAAGCAAGCAGAGCTGGGTGAAGCGAGCATAAGAATGATGTTGGCATTGAAAAACCAGATGAGTTGGCTTACACTTTGCTTTAAAACCTTCAGCCTGTGTTCTTCCCTATTAAGATTCAATTCAGTGAGGCCTTTTCTATATTTACTACCTTCTCGTCAGGCAGATGCTGTCTGCCAGCAGAAGGGAGCTCCCGGCAGGCCTCACTAGCAGCTATTTTCTTGCACTCGTGCTTTGAGTGCTGGCAGAGCATGAAATACAGGAGAGACCTCAGCAGCTGGCAGAAGACCCAGGGGCGTCTACCAGGTACTGGGCATCAGCAGATGCCCTCCTTGACACTGCTGAGGAGGTGTGACTGCCGGCAGGAAGGAGGGTTTTGCTGCCACAGAGGAACTGTGTGTGTGGATGTACTCAAAGCTTTGCCAACAGAACTTGAGCTTGGCCATGAAAACTGGTCATATAGACTAGGCCTGAGATTGCCCAAGACTTCTACTGGGGTGGGTGCCTGCCTGTAGGCCAAGAGAAATGAATAGCAAGGCCCAAAATATAATAAAGAGCGTGCATTCTTGAGGGCTGGCTGCAGTCTTAGAACAAGGTATGAAGAGCACAGACTGAACTCTTTTTAAGGAACTCTGCTTCAGGGAAGAGAATAGCTGCTAGTCCGCTACAGGGGCCAACGTTAATCTGGCCCTAAACTAGCTCCATCTGATATAGTTAGGATGCCCTCCAACTTTCTGACACGCTTTATTTTCCAATTATGCAAAGACCTCGTCACTGAAGTCCTTGGGCCTGCTGAATGCTTAAGAATAAACACAGGGGTGAGTCTTTGCAGGGTGAGGGGCAAAGGGACATGCAAAGTCACTTGAAAGTTGGCCTGGAGGCTAAGTCTCCCTTGAGCTATGTTACTAGATGTGCTCCTCACCTGGCGTCCTATCGCTTTTTATCATAGTGACCCATGCAGAGTGCTAGGGGCTTTGCTGGGAGTCAAATACTGCTCAGTTCTGCCAACATAAATCTAGAAAGGCGTCATTTTACTACAGTGCAGCTGCTATGAGATTACCTGGAAGGCCCCTTCAAGCCCCACT